ATATTTGACACAACCTTTAGTGAGTTCCATTTTGAGATGAGGGAGTTGTGAGGGAAGAGGTAGAGAGAAGAGTTGCAAAGTCAGGTATAGAGTATAATATAATTGAATGTTAGAAATCCTTTAGCCCATAAACAATACAGTCCAATTTCCTAGCACATCTCTGCGGTCACTGCCAGCGGAGGAGTGTCTGTTCTCGTGGGTGCCGCTCCTTCGTTCTCATGGGCATCAAGGCTGCTCCTCCACTCGCCCAGGGCTGAGGCCGTTCTTCTGCTTGCCCAGTGCTGAGGCCGTTCTTCTGCTCGCCCAGTGCTGAGGCAGTTCTTCTGCTCAGCTGGTGCTGCCTCTGATCATCGGTGCTGAGGCAGCTCTTTTCCTTGCCCTGTGCTGCCTCCTGTCATTGCTGCTCTGACTGGTCCCGGACCCCAGGGCTGGTGAAGAGACTGTGTCAGTGGAGCTGCATTTAGACACAGGAGACCAGGTTCAGTGACACAGGTCTGGTTTATTGCAGGAAGGCATAAGCTTATATAGGGGTAGTGGTCCAATCACAGCACAGCAAGTAAGATACCTTATTAGCATAAGAGGTTTAGCATCCTATCACAGTACAGCAAGTAGGATACCTTATCAGCATAACAGACTTAGCATCCTATTAGCATAACAGACTTAACTTTCTATCACAGAATAGCGGGTAAGATGCCTCATTAGCATAATGGGTTTCAGATTACAGAGCCTGGATTCCTGGAAACCACATGACTCTGACTGTTGCAATATCTAAGTGTTGCAATTTTGAATTCCAAGGGTGGTGATTAGGGAGTGGTGAGCTCTAGGCATCAGTCTCATGATCTGCCAATGGCAGCAAATGTCACAAGGTGTTTCTTGTGGCTCCAGCAGTTGGGCCATTGCTTCGGGCCTGCTGTATGGCTGTCAATAAGACTTTCACCCTAGGCTCAAGCCTGTCTCCCACAATCTACCTAGTTAGTTTTTCCTCTACTGTTAAAAGAGAAATACCAGGTTATATGTATCTGATTTGGGTATGAAACTTAAAAACTCAATAGTGTCTTTAAACATGAGTCTCTGTCCCTCTGTTATTGGCTTACTTCATTCTTCCCTCTACCCCCACCATCTTTCCCTGTAATTATTCTATGGTTTTAAACCAGTCTTCATGCTCAGTCTTACCCTTACTTTATTTCAATTTTTTAAGTGTTTGGGAATAAGGTCAAGACAGTGTGGTAGATTCTTCTACTGTGATGGTAAAGCACTGTTTAACAGGCCTCACAGTTCTTATTTAATTGGGAACAAACCA